ATTGACAAATTATGATATAGATGGATCCAATTATCCTACCTCATTCTGATTATAAAAGACTAAAATATCAACATGAATTTCAAAAAAAAAAAAAAAGAAAAAAAAAATTGAAAGACTTAAGTAACAAATAAATATAAATTGTTTTTACTTGATATTCGCTGCACAATGCTTTTGAATTTCCTAATACCGTGACGGAACATCTCGCGGAAAAAAGAGGCGTGATGTTTGCCAGCGATACGGACTAATTGAAAGTGTCAGTGTGCAGATAAGGGTTTCGTACAGCGTTGTGTATGAAAAGGGACACGATTCCCCTTTTCGAGGTTCTTTCTTCTCGTCGATGACCGATAAAAATCGCGTTCACGCCCTGCGAATGACGGGGAATGTGTAACGAGGGGTGATAAAGGAACGCCGGCAGAACGACAGTCGAGCGTGGCGATTCATTCACCGTCGTGTAGTGAATTTATGATCGAGTTAATAACAGAACAAACAGCTGATTGCCTTCGATAATTTCAACCCTCGTTCGTGATCCACTACCGTTCGATTCGTTTCCATCCGTTCATAGCAAATTTCTTTCTAATCTTTCATTATTCCCATTACTACTGAACAGGAATTTTATAATACAATATTAATTAATTTAAAAACAATCAATCTTAAAGTAAAAAGAATAAAGAATGGACAATAAATTTATCCTTATTTTTTTTTAATTTCTCCTAACTTTTATCAATAGCCTACATACATGTTTGTGCAATAATAAAATTGCTTATAACTATATATATATATGTTTGTAACCATAATATCAATTAACAGAATTATTTTGTTACTTCATAAATTTTTCTCTGAGTTCTTTAATTTTTAAATTAATTTTGGATATTAATACAAGCAAATGTATGTAATAATATGTGTAATAAATAGTAAAATATATTATTGCTATATTTTTTTTATAAACCCGGATTTATAGTCGGACGAATCTATAGAAACCGTGTATAATGATAAATGCTGTTCCAAATTATTATTTTACCATTAACTTGTATATTTTAATAAAATCCGCACATACTATCATATTAATTTATCTACTCAAGAGAGAATAATAAGAATCCCGAAGAAAAAGAAAGAAGATGAAAATAGTAATATTTAGAAATCGACCTTTTCCCTTCTACCTTTCTCATTATTTCATTTTCTCATCGACTTTTCTCCCGCCTGACACAGATACAACCCCCTTCTTCACCCCAGTCAGATGAATATTTCGGAACCTTCCGGAAATTCGATGACACCGACCGACACAGCCGTTTCTTTATGAAAGTTGGAATTCGCTGAGATGTTGCCACTAACACACAGCCCTCTTGTCTCATTTTATACCTCCTCTCTTTATCGTCTTATCAGTGGAGAAACGTCTTCAGCCGCGCGTCCCTCTTCCATCGTTTTCTTTTTTTTTTTTTCAGCAAGACATTGCAGGCACTGATAACATTTATTTCGAGAAATGGTCCGCTCGCTCCACGCCTCTATAACAGCCGAACAAAGCGAGAAAAAATTCTTCGTTTATAACACAGTCGCTGTCATACACAAGATTGTTTGATGAGGGCGTCGATGAACGAAAAATTTCTAGGCGAAGAATTATCCGTTTGTCGAATGATTGATGGTATCTCGTTATATTTTCTCGATGAAAACTTGTTTAAAAGTAAAAATAGTTTTATTGGAGGAAATAATATCAGTTTTCGACATGACTTATATTACTCGAGCTATTTATGTATTTTTAACTAAATAACAAAAAAGACTTATTTAGATCTGTCTGTTTCTGATCCATTCGTTTAGATTTTTCCTTTTCCTTTCTGTACCTTGGATAACAAAATTCTTATAGTGATATAAATATTACATATATTGTATATAAAATTCTCTAAGTAATAAGTTAGGTTAAAGCTGATTCGTGATAATTCTTTAACTACTTTAATTATTATTGATAATTTTTGTCTAACTGTAATCTTGTCTAACTGTATAAAATATTCAGTCATCTTTTTGTTTCTTACGCATTTGTGGAAAATTTTAAAATACAGAAATACATGAAACACACATACATTTGAAAATATGTATATAAGATATACAATACTTCAATATTTAACTGATGAAACGAGACTCTGCCTGGATCTTATTCTATTAATTATCTTCATGAAAACATGAATTTGCACTAGAATCGGTAATTTAGTCATTAATATGTAAATGTTCTTCGAACATTTCCTGTTCCATAACACTTCCTATTTCATATATCTAAACAATTACAGTCCCCAATGATTAATTATCCGAAACAACTTACCAATCATTTAATAAACAAACTTTATCAAAAAACATCTCTACGAGTCTCAAACAATTTCTTCAGATGCTCCGAACATAAGTCGCTTAGTGAAAAAAACGTGTCTGACGTCGCGTCTGACGCGCGACGGATCTATTCTACTTGCGGACGCGGCAATCAATTCCAGTGCGGCGATTGTCTAAAAGCGTCGATGTCGGCCAGATGCGAGCTGACCAGATCGACGCGGACCAAAAAGGTCAGAAAAGAGGTAGTACGATAATCTGCGTGACAGACACACAGTGAGAGTCGTGGCCCGGCTGGGTGGCCAGCGTATTTACACGACGAAGAAACGTTTCGCTGAAGAACGAAGAGAGAAGAAGCACTCCTCCACCTGTTGAACGCGCCTGTATCCTCTGGCCGCCATGTCGACGAAGGAGCCAATCGTGAATGTCCATTAGCCGTGGACCGTAGTGGGAGAGTGGAAACATTCCTGGTTGGCCGATCCTTGTCTCCCCCGCATCCCACGGGACTCCGGCTACTCCACTCATTCTCGATTCCACCCTGGCTCATCCCAGACTCGACGTCAGAGAGGTCCTGACGGATCCTTGCCAGTCCTCGCCACGATATCAATCACACAACTTCACCACGGTTAACACGGTGTCAGTGTCGCTGTTTTACTTTTCACGAGACACCCAGAACCCAGGATTCAGTTTAATCGAATCGAATTCGGGGACAGATCGAATGGAGAGGACTCGAGAAGCTGACCTTCGTCAAATGTTCGCACGACGTTGGAGAATGACTCTCACTCTCTCTCCCTCTCTCTCTGTCTCTTTCTCTCTCTGTGAATGATTGATGAGACGAGGATCAAGTTGACAGAGTAACTTTCGTGTGAGCTTTCGAATCCAATTGAAAGGGGCCGAGTGTGACTTCTGAAGACGACTCTCAGTTAATGAGAAGATTGAAGGAGGAAGTTGATGACAGTTTTTGGACAACGTTGTCGCGAGAATTTTGATTGAAACTGTGATTGGAAGAGTTAGAATCGAGTCGTCGTTGAGCATGTGGAAATCGTTCGCTTTGACGACCACGTGATCGAATGTCAGCAGGAAGGTGTTGTGTACGATATTTGGCTAGTTTAGCATTTGAATGACGATGACGGACAAGAATAGTGGACAAAGGAATTGTTTATCGATAGAAGAATGTGAGAGAATGATATTGATACAAGATAGGAATTAAAGGGAGATCTGTAGAAGGAATTGATTGGAAATCATTGTAAATCATAAATTAGCGATCAAGATGTCATCGAAAACGCTTCACAATGAGCATATCAAGCGTCCGATGAACGCGTTTATGGTGTGGTCGCGGGGACAGCGACGGAAAATGGCTCAGGAAAATCCGAAGATGCATAACTCTGAGATTTCGAAGAGACTTGGCGCAGAATGGAAATTGCTTAGCGAAAGCGAAAAACGACCGTTCATTGACGAAGCGAAAAGGTTGAGGTAAGTGTCGAAACTTCATTAAATATTACGAAAAAAGTAAGCAATCGTATCTTCCTTTATCAATTACAGAAAATTCTGCATAACATCACAAGATTTACCAAATGTTACTCTGTTTAAAAAAAAATTTGCTAAAAACTCACGAAATTATATATATTCTAAATTACATTGAAAAAATATTATAATATTCATTCTACATTATTATAAAATGTATTATACTGAGAGATCAGAAATTGTAATTTTCACTGAATTTCTTCTTCTCTAGAAATATTTAAGAAAGTGTTAATGAGTCTTTAGAAACGTCAAACTATGTAGTTCAATAATGAAAATATCTCAAAAACCAAATGGATAGTTCATTCCCTATCGTTTTCAATCAATGCATTTTTCTTTTGCGCGCTAATTGCTCTTTAGTCACGAGTGGGCGAACGAAATTATCGCATCGTGGCGTATCTGCAATAACCGTGAGGGAGATGAAAAACGAGAAGGGCGAATCTCGTAGTTCATAATACGGTACATTGTTGCTAAAGCTAAGGGCGTGCTACGCTAAGCCAAGGGGTGGAATAGGGTGAACGAAGTGGTATTTATGGAGGTGGAGGGGACAGCCTCTTTATTACCGACCCTGAATATTTAATCATTGTTATGAGTTTATTTAGCCCGCCGTACGATGAACAGGTCCAAGAGATTTCACGATCGAACGACATTTTTATCATTTCTGTTTCACTCTTCGCGCTATCGAGGGGAATTAATGAAGAAATGATTGCTACTATAAATACAATGTTCTATATGGTTAAATTATAACTTATTAAAACCCCTAAAAGCTTACATTATTTTGTACCTATTATTTCAAATTCTCATATCTCCTCATATTCTTTCTATTGCGTTTTTTGGATTATTTTAAAACCAACCATGTTTTCAACAAATTACTTAAGTTCAGAAAAAGCATGAAGGAATTGTTGTTGATATATATGATGTTTGATTTCAATTATATGTAGAAGTTATTCCCTCTTGAAAGATTAAAAATCTTTCTGCAAGAGTGAAATTGGTATATCAAGATTGATAAAATATTTTTTGTCATTTGAAAGAGAACTCTAATTATTTTTATACTAAGAAATAAAAAAAAAAAAGTACGAAGCAATGAAATGAAATGTATAGTATGATTTGAAACTCATTTAAATTCTTGGCGAAAATCGTCGACAAAGGTAATAAATAGAAAGAGACAATAAAAAGACATTTTAGACAAAGACGCTGCTCGACTACAAAGAAATAAAAATGAAATATAACAGAGATAGAGGAAACACAGTCGGAGAAATATTAATTTGAAAGTACGATGCGCAAACTATCGATGACGAAATCGAGCTCTATCACGGTTTTTCAAAGCGAATAATGCTCGGGATAGCGAATTAATAGGAGTCGGTTAGGATTGAATTTTTAAACTCGCGGAATCACTCCCGCCACGACGATGGAGCTCGTAAAACAAATAATAGAATGATAAAGTCGCTTCTTCGTAAAGCGTCAATTCACTTTCAATTATCAAGTATTCGCTTTTTCTTCTTTCTCTTTCGTTCGTATTAGATCGGTTTCGAAAAAAAAGGGGGGAAAAATGAAAAATATAGAAAGGATAGAAGAAAGGAAAATCAATCAACTCGGTCGTGAATTCTATCGACGGAATGTAACACGGAATCCGCTTTTCTGTCGGTGACCGTGATCGAATCCAACAAAAGGAATTATGAAGTTTCGCACTGGCACACGGTCCGTGTCAGTTGTGATTCGATTCCTTTTTTCACGGAATCGAATATTGCCTTTTTCAATTGCCGAATGAAAAATATTGTCCCGTTTAACAGACGCTGCTGAACTATTTCTTTCAAAAGAGGATAAAACGTGTCTTTATTGTTATGCAATCATCTTTCATTCAGAAACAATCCGTAGGGTTTTAAAGAAATTCGCACGTCAAATTCTCAAGATGAAAAATCCGAAGAATAAGTAATCTGCATATATTACTTGTTACAAAAAGAATTACGGTATACGATATAATTGAAAAACTATATTTTGAAATGTAAAACGTCTGTGTACATATTGTACTATATCACATAACTACGTTGAGATTGTTTCAATATTTAACTCCACTTATTCAACTGTCTATCTAAATTTTTTAATTTAAAAGAACATGTGCAGCGATAAATTTTCACCTACAATTTTAAGAGTTAAAAGTCCTTATGTTTGTTGAAGTAAAAGTGAGATGAAGTGAGACAAAAATTTGAGAATATTTGCAAAGCTCCCTTACATAATTGAACTAATATTATCGGTACAATTTTACAAACCACAAGCTAGAAATTAGCAGTATTAATTATTTATACAATTTACTTGTAAGACAGTAACAACATTTTTCATGATAAAAAATTTACTTTAATATTTATACTATAAAAATCTGATACCGAAGAACACGCAAAATATGTAGAACATTCAAAGTATTGTATTCATTGTGATATTTAATATTTGTTTGTATTAGCTGTGTTTCTATAAATCTGTGCAAATCGTTGCACAAGAGAACCCAAGCGCGTTAACTGCACATTCAATCTCAAAAAAAAAAAAAAACAACCCCCATTAAAACAAACGAAAAATCGTTCCCTTTCGAGAGTTTTGAAAGTCTCAAAAACAGGACTGGAAGCCTCAATATTCATTCCGTCCGCGGAAAGATTTCTCAGACAGAGAGATAGAAGAGTCAGGAGGGGAAAATTTCGGGGAGAGACGTGTAACGGCGAATCCGCTTTTCTGGCGAGGATAGCATCGCTGACGATTCTGGTAACGGTATCGTGCAAAAACGAGCAGGGAATGGTTGGTAGAAAAGAGAGAGAGTGAGAGAGAGAGAGAAACGGTTGTAAAATAAAGAGGAGAGGGCCCGATAAAAGTCGTTCTTCTGGAGCCACGCTCCTGGTAGGAACGGGTTCCCTTGGAGCCAAGCCGTCACTGGCCCGACGTAATCTGTCCGTTCGTTCACGGCGACTCACAATGTGGCCCCCGAGATAACAAATAAAGCCCCATTGTCGCAATTGTGTGGATTTAAAAGGATTTGCGCGGCTCCTCTGCCGGCCCCTACCCTCTCCCCGTCCCTGCTGTTCGTTGGCTGTGCCGCTGCCACTACTGCTGCCTGTCCTACGATTCCCTCTTCCTCAACCCTCTTTTCACCCGGCTTCTACGGACGCTCTGTCTACCCCATTGCTGTTTGTGCACCGAGGAAACGGAGAAGGAAAGCGACCGGAGTGAAAATTCTGCATCAAAGGGGTGGCGAAGGGTTCGCCAATTAGAGTCGGTTAGTGCGGTGATCGGTAGAGTAAGGTGAGATAGGTTAGATTAGAGGATAAAGGTGATGAGACGTCGAAAATTTCTGGCTCGGGAGTTTTTTTATGAAAATCGTTGGGCATTTTGGAAGTGAAACGCAGGTGAAACGAAGATTATAGAAGAGACGTAGTCAGAGCAAATCACGTTTCCTACTTTCTTATAGGGGATTTGAAGATAGTAAGATAGTCGCATTAAAATGTTTGGTATAATATAAAATCTAATTTAATTTATTGATAATGATGACGATTATATGGTAGTTACAGTAACAAGACACTAAATGTGATATTGATACTTGAGCCACGGTAAATTTTAACAGTGTGTAACATTGAATAAACTTTGACATCTCAGTATCTCACTAGAAATTAAATTAGAAAATTCACAATTAAATCCACTTAACTACATGGTGATCATCAATGATCTATTGCCATTGTAATAGTCACCTCCCTCCCCCCCCCTTATAACTAAAAAATATACGAAACAAAATCAACAAAATCAACACGCAAGATATTATAATAATTTTCAAAAGTACACCCACACGTGGACTAATTATCGCTTAACGATCGATCAAATCGGCAACTGATATTCGGTTACACCAGTCGCGAGAAGACCGACACGGGGACCATCAGGAAAGTCCGTCGATCGTTGGTCCGGCACAATGACATTTATGACGAATCGTTACACTAACGACATTCGCTAGGCCACCAGAGGACAATCGTGACTAATTGTTATTGTTTCTTGTTGCGGCGGCCGCGAGCGCAACTACCGCGCGGCTTATGTCCACCGATATGATATAACGCGTTGTTTATCGCACGGTTGGAAGTGGGTGCGCTCGGCTGCTAGCTCTGTGGCAGTGTGCTATTGCTCTGGCGCGGATGGTGGTGGTAGAGGGTTCCCAGCGAATTGTAAAGATTACGCCCGATGTTTATGCATTTATGCTGAATTATTGTCGGCGGGGCTTTACCGATGTTTATGCTGATTTACGCTTTGTGCTATCTGCCGGGACACATTGTCCCGGAATTATTATTCCGTTGCGTCACTCTCGCCGCGAGGAACCGAAAATTTCGGATTTCGTTCGCGAGCTGGAAAATTCTCCACCAAACGCCACGGTACGTTCTCGCGGTTCGTTCCGACCGCGCCAATACCAAACAACGATTTCACCGATGTGCACGCTGAGTTCCCTCGTTATTCCCATCGTTCGTTTCGAAGAATCGATGCCATGCTCGAAACGTGCAACAAGACGAGGCGTGCAAAATCACATGTATTATAATAACGCGAGTTCGCAACTGGGTTGCGAGAAAATGAATTGCAATGAAACAGTGTCATACTGCGTATTGATCTTTTATCAAATTCGTGTTTGCAGGAATGAGAGAACGAGAGAACGCTTCGTTGAAAAATAAAGGTGCAACACAGACAATATATTCGTAAAAAAAGTTTACACAAGTATTCAAATATTTTCACTGTATCAAAAGTAGAACGTATTGAGACTGAAATCCCTGGGCAAGATGGTCGAAGTAATTCGAGTGGTTGTGATTGTGCGCGCGGTTTCCGTCCGAATTCTCCAACGTGTAACGCCTAGGCACGTAAAAAAAGAGTTCCCGCCCGTGAAACACCTATCTCGCTCGCTTTCTTTTATCTCCGTGAGGCGAAGCATAAATAAGGACTGCGTTTGTGCGCCTCTTGGGTACATAATGGAGTATTATGTGACGGAGATACCACGGGCCTCTGACTCTTCCCTTCCACCCCTCACTTTTACCAGCCCCTCGACAACAAACGTGGCGTCGACTGCGCCTCCAGCCGGGGTGTGTGTACAAGATATTTACTACAAATACCCATGGTGTCCCGTATCGTGTTCTAGTGCCACGATAATACGTCCCTTTGTACGGATAACGGTGTCGAGAGCAAAGTTTACCGAATTCTCGAGTGTCTCGTCTCGTCTTGCGGGCGATTCTTCGCGTGATAACACGGATACCTTGGATTATCGAAGACAGATAGAGGACAAAATCATTGTCTAGGACTGTGCAAACACTGACTCGAACATTCCTGTTTTAATAATGTACGGTATATTTATTTAGATTATATTTACCTTTCGGTTTTTTGAGAAAATTAATATTGATTTTTATTAATACAGAAATACATAAGTACGTATACTATAGTACGTTATGCTATTTTTATTATAAATGTTTGTGATATGATATTAGAAATTAATTGTTTTAATTTCACTTCAATATATCCTTTATAATATACACATACTGATATTTTAATAGATACATTAGCAACCTTTGAATCCACAAACATTAATAGCTAAAATAATCGACTGAACTAAAAATTCATATGCACATATATCTCGGACATAATTAAATGGCTGAATTTTCATTTGACGATTATTTAATCGAAAGTTTCGACGCGATGCCAGAAATTATACTTTCAAACTCTCGAAGAGTATTTCCTATAGCAAAATTACTCAATTAGACCACCCCTAAAACACTTGAAGACAAGCCTCTCTTCTAATGATCTAGAGATAGCAGGTTTAGTGATAAATTTACGACAACTAAGAATGTATTGAAATTTCACTTGAAAAAAAAAATTGAAGGAACATTTCACAATTGTCTCCTCACTCTGAATCTCGTTAATAAGTTATCAAAATAATGTATCAGCAATCTAGTTATATTCATTCAGATACATATGACGAACTGATAATTATAGTAGTGTAAGTAAGAATTTCAAGAATTCATATCAAGATTTTATTATAACTTTATGTTTTTGTCATCATAATAACCATATTTTTCCATGACTTATATAGATTTATAATCAAATCTTTTTATAGTAATAAGCATAGAATACTATTTTATGAAAACTGACTTACACCACTGTAATTCCTAGCCCTCCGTATATTTCTCTTTTTAACTAACTAGATTTGTAATAGTACCTTTAGTATTAGTATTAGTACCTTTCGCGAAGATACTATAATTTATCATTTATTAAAAAGAAAGAAACAAGATTCAACAGGAAGATGCGACTCATTCGTTGTACATATACAATGTGTAACACGGAATAAACATTTTCATTGCAGAGCCCTCCACATGAAGGAGCATCCAGACTACAAGTACCGGCCGCGCAGGAAGCCGAAATCTTTAGTGAAGAAGGAGAACAAATTCGGTTTCTCGATATCGCCGCTGATGTCCTCGGGTGAGACCTTGGGCAATATATCGAGAAGCCTCTTGCCACCTCTGGCACCGCCGTCGCACCATACATTGATGAGCCACGAGGATCTCAAGATTCCTCGCTTTTTCCCGCCGTTTCCATACCCTCTGTATCCTATACAACACAAATTAGGAGAAGAGTTCAACGGTGGCAAATTAGCCGCGGATTTGGCGCTTCAGGCTCTGTACGGAGGTAGCACCTTCTATTCGAGCCATCAAACCATGTCTTGGCCAGGTTTGTCAACCGCGGCCTGCCTTCAACCCAATTGTGGTTGCCCAAGTCCGCCTAAAGACCCAAAGAGGCCGTACTTACCTACTAAGTTGGAAGAAAGACCTTTTCCCAGTCCAGGTAAACCGGAAGAGGATGGATTCCCATCGGACAGAGACTCCAGTAGGGAAGAGCCTCGATATAGAAAACTCGACGAAGATACATACTCGTCGTCGATGGACAGACACCAGGAAGATAGATCCCAAGATAGATTCTCCTCGTCTTCTTCGTCGTCACCTACCGATCACACGGAGAAAGTTATCAACAGTGTGCCAACGTCGACGTCAACGCCGACGACGAAGGTCGAGAGCGCGTTCTCAGTTCAAAATCTGACGTCGTCTAGCTCGAATTTGGGGAATCATCGCGGCCACGTCATATGAAGGCCGCTTCCGGTTCTCCCGGATCTAAACTTCCGGGGGAACCTGGTACCACCTGGATGGCCAAGCACCGACTGGTGGAGAGTACCGCCGATGTTGTCGCCGATTCCTCAGGCCACGGTAACGAATTTAAACGCGCCAGCGAAGGACGACGAGGTTCAATTCCAAGAGGAACAACAGAGAAACTCTGTGATGGCCAGGTCGAGGAGCATTCACATTGGAAATGTACAGTGATCGTTGACGTCCGAGGAAACGAATGGTTTCTGAAACGGTTCAATTGGAAACTGTACTCGAAGGTTCGTAACCTAACTGTTATGCAAACGAAGATGGAAGGTGTATATGACGTAAACGGAATTTAATACGAGATAAGAAGTTTTAATAATTGGTAAAGTGATTCTTATGAGAGATCGGAGATTTCTGTAGAATCTTATACCGTCCTTCTTAGTTAAAATGTTCTATCGTCTTGAGGTTTTATTAAACATTTTTTTTTTTTCTCGTTCTGTTTCTAATTTCCTTCGCTCAATTTCAAATATTTGGTCATTGTTTCACAAGAGCCTATATGTATTTGTGTGTAATATAACTTTTCTTACTGTTAAGAGATAAAAGACACGGGAGACATATGTTTAAAGAGTGGGAAGACGCCAAATGAGACATTCTAACAAAAAAAGTATAAAATACATATAGAAGAACATGTGAAATGAAAGATGAGCAATGAAGATCGTCGATCGTTTATAACCTGTTGCGTTGTGTGATAATTCAAACAGCCTAGTTAATGTTTTTTTACAACTGTATATATATATATAATATTTGAAAGAACTGCAGAAAACCTGATTGAAAATCTCAAGAAGTTCCCAGCTTGATGATCCCGGTGCGTTTCCATGAGGATGTCCGCGAGTGATCTTACTCTTGAGAGTCATACCCGTTGCAAGTCTTTCGCACAGAACGAGTCGAACTTTCGGACGAGAATTCGTTATGCGAGCCGACGATGGATACCAAAGCCGAATCGATAACTCGCCACGGTCAAAATCCTACAAAGAGAGAGATGCGAAAGGGTCCTTTCTGGCAAAGCGTGTACAAGGATGCCAGAGAAGAGTCCAATTTTGATGAGATAACCAACCCTCTCGGTGGCACATATTACCGCGCACGCGAGCCGGAAAGCGGCACGGCAGGACAGAAAAGAGCCCCCATACGAGCGAAGAGAGGTAGGAAAAAAAAATAAATAAAAACCCTCTTCGAGCAGAGGCAAATCTCTTCTTTGGGGCGCGGCCATGCGAAATAAGCCAAACGTTCTGAATGCTAACGTAGATGCGACACAGCGGACCTGTATACGCGTTATACCATCCACCCTCTCCTCCCCCCCCGCCCCTCCCTCGCGAGATGATTTTATTGCGTCGCGCATCGATACTGCAACTCCCTAATATTCTCCCCGTGTCTTTCTCAATTTTCCTTTTCTCTTCTCCGTCAGTCGTTTATTTTTCATTACCAACCTTGTAATTACTAGATCGTCGGCTGCCAGTGTGATTGTGAGAGAGGGAGAGATTGGTAAGAGAGTCGACGAGATGAATTTACAATTTTTAGGGCTTTCACGGAGATTTGAAAATCTTGCGATATCTCTGGATATCTCTCTTGTACAATTTTCTTTCCCATAACATTTTAACAAATTTCTTGACAAGACAAGTGGAATTTTATAAACCGCGATTATTCTACGTAAATTTTTAAGAAGGACATTTGTAATTCATAACTCGCAACATATTATATTAGTTGGTTAATTACTGTGCAAGAGGATCATGGTTGTTACTATTGTGTTTTTTTTTTTTATGTTATTCATAGTTTTATCGTTGTTTCGTTTTCGTTTCGCAAATGTATAATTGGTAAAATAGCTTGTAATAAATTGAATGCGGATATTTATGTACGCATACAGAGAAATACGGAGAATGCATAAAAGTGGTGTTCGTAAAAATGTAAATTTACACAAATATCCGCAGTCTAGTAACAAATAACATACAAGACTGTATACCTAAGTAACGCAACTTAATTTCGTAACACAACAAGAACTACGACAAAAGATTTAAAAAATGTGAAAAAACAATTCAATTGAAAAATATTCTTTCTCATAATTCTAAAGTGTCGAACATTTTTTCTTTTTCTTTTTTTTTTTTTTTTTTGGACCCTATAGAAATGTACAAAACAGTAATTTGTTACTGTGAAGCTTTAAACGATTGGCCAGTAATAATAAAGCGTCCAATTCGAGTAAATTGTTTGCAGACGCGCCATTCTGTTCGCGGATTGTTGAATTCGTTGCCGGCCCCCTCTGCACCTCCCGTTCACGCAGTTTTATTGCAGCTGATTTTTCGCGATCGACGCGCAACCGTATATTCGAAATTTTATACGCTTGTTTTGCCGCGCGAGACACGTATTTTTCGGCGAAAAATTTCGATATCGACCACGACGATCGGAGCTTCACTACAGACCAGAATGGAAACTAATTCCCACGCACACTTCCCTCCGCATCTAGAAATTGTATACAGTTAACACACCAAAAAAAAAAAAAAAAAAAAAAAAAAAAGAAAAAAAACGGAA